TTTTAAAATGAGCACAATAGTCATGGTTTAAAAATATTACATATTCCTAACCTACCAGGCTTTGAGATCTTATAATAAAATTCTCTGAGAAGGAAGATTTCCAAATGGCAAAGTAGCTAGTAGAGATCAAGGCTTGGGCTTGTCTTAGACACCTGTTAGCACACACATGTGCGGTCTTAGCCACGTTTCCCATTGCCATTATCCTGCTGAAAAACAAACTGCATACTTCAGAGCAGTATCAATTAAAGTATCAATCTGCTCCTTAGAAAGTGAAATAAAGGAGACAAGACCACATCTAGGACAGGATTAACTGTTTTGGGTCTCATATCAGACCACTGTTGAGTCACACAGCTAAGCATCAGATACCTGCTCCACTCCTTATGAACTCCTGGCCTTAGATAGCTTACAAGCCAGGCCCTGGGCAGTAGGTTTAATAATGCCTCATAAATTGTTGTGAAGATTAAATGATACTGAATATGAAGCTCTTAGCACAGGGGTCGGCACCTAATAAACACTCAATGGGATCCCATGAAGAAAAGCTCTTTTATTTAACTACCAGATAAAATTTTCTTCCTCTTTAATCTGCAGATTCCACTAACAAACTTAGAAAGGTATATGTTGCCTCACAGCAGCACTCTTCCTTCTCCCACCTTTTCTTTTGTTTCATGAGTTTCCTAGTTATCTAAGTGCTAGCAAAAACTTCATTTGATCCATGCCTTGAATCCATTTCCCTGCTGAAAAACAAACAAAAGCCAACAGTGTCCTACTCAGAAACAAAACAAAATGACAGAAAATGAAGGCATTTCCGCAGCAAAGAATAAAGAACACATCGAGAAAGGTAATTTCTGTCACAGTCTAGGTGGCCTTCGAGCGGGTGGCAGCAGGGGCCATGCTGGTATTAACTTCATAAGAGTAGATAAGTCAGCAGGAGCTACTCAATCACTTGACAGAAGTCAATTCAGAAGGCAACTGAAATGCCTGGCTTTAAAGATAATCATGTTAAGAATCAAAAAGGGCCTAATGTTTGAGTCATGCCTTTCAAATGCAACAAATCATTATACCTGTCAAGATTTATGGACAGATGTATTTATGTTGACATTGGACCACTAATACTTTGACAAATGAGAGACCTTGACATATACAACAGATACGTCCAAGTCTATTTCCCCATTCAAAAAGAGGGATGAAGGAGTAGATTATGACAAGCTTATGGTAAAATGTGGGTTGGTCTGGCTCCAGGGATCTCTGCTGCATGGCTCCTCCACTGCTCACTGCCCTTTACACAAACAATGTTGAACACAGTCACTTATGCCCACGAGGAAGGTTAGAAATAGCTGATATGAATGTGTAATACAAAATGGGCCTCCCATGGATTTCCTGTGCACAAAAATGGTGATTTCTTGGGCTCCGAAGACTCCAAAGGATTATTTGTGCACCTCCAAGAAAGAAGCAGAAGATTTGATTAGCAGCAGCTAAGCGTCTGAGTGTCACGATGCCACAGTGATCTCAGCTTCCAAGTTTATTAAGGAGGCTAATTCCTGTCAGTGAATTAAAGTTAGGGCTTGATTCATACTCAGATACCTAGAAGAAATTTGCTTAGGAAAAAAAAATACCATCCATAAAGGAACAACTAGATTTATGATCTATCATCAGGAATTTGATAAACTCACAGTGGTCAAAAGGGACTGTAGTAGGATTGATTAATGCAACAGGATCCTTAGTGTTAGAAAGAGGGACTTTTGCTAATGGAATTTATTTTCTCTTGCTTGTGTTTGGACAGTGTCTCTTGCATCTTTGTACAATCTCACATTCTTTGCCTTATCCAATCTATAATAATTTAGCCCTTGGATTAAAAGAAAGGATCTTTCTATCATCAGACAACTCAACATGAATGAAGGCTTTGCCAGGAGGAAACAAGAGACTTGAATGCAGGCAGTGAGCTTCTCCATAGGAACAGAGATTGGATATTGGGTATTACTTGCAGAGAGGGCAAACTTGGCACTCCTGAGTGAGAAGTCCCCATAAAGCACAGCGTAGCATGGGCGGAAAATAAGAACTCAGCCAGTATGTGTTCCTGCTGGTGCACAAATGCATGTACACCTTCTGAATTCAGATGTCACTATGGAAAATAGGAAAATAAGAGGAGTTCTGCAGGATACAGACAACAACTATGTCACAATTCACTCATTCAAAAATATTTATGAACACATGCTGGGCTCCAAGCACTGAGGTAAGCCACAGAGATACACGTGAGAGAGGCACAGGTGACCTACTTGTTTTCAGGAGTTTACACTGAAGCTGTGAGTGGTATAAGAGCAAGGAACATCAAACAGGAAACTTCACAGGCAAGTAAGCAAGAGAAGTGCAGAGGAAGATAACGCTGTATGAAAATAAAGGCTTGTGGGATGGAGAGTCACTTGGAGGACTGAGCTGCTGCAGACAGAAAGCTTAAGGAAAAGTTTGTGATAAGGTGACTAAGAAAAACAACCTGAAGGGTGAGAATGGGAGAGCTCTTCTAAAGCCTGGGTGTGGTAGACGAGGGGGGTAGTTGAAGGCTCTGAGAAGATGAACATTTGGCCTCTTGAGGAAAGGAGAGGAAGTTGATCTTGATGGGGTAGGTAGAGTGGGTGAAAGATAAAAGTGGTGGAGAAGGTAGGCTGAAGTGGTTTAAACTGAGGAGTGATGCCCTCTGACTTTAATAAAAGCACAGACTCTGTCTGTGAAGGACTGACTACACAGAGGTAGGAATAATTACAGGGAAATGTGTTAAACCTATGTAGTAATTCAGGCAAGATTATGGCAGCTTGGAACATGTGGACACCATGCAGGTGGAGATTTGGGATTGATCTGGGAGTCAAAGCAGACTATAATTCCACAGTCAGTTTCTTCTAATGTTTGCATTTCCCCCACCACACACCTAAGATTTATCTAGAGATTAATGAAATGGTACCCACACGGTGCTTTGAATTCCTTGGAGGGAAGCAAAGCATTATTATTATTTTCTTTACTCATATTATGAATTTATTAACTTTTACCTTCTATATTGAGGTAGGTATTTCACTGACAGCTGGGGTCTCATTTAGCTAACCAGGTGCCCATGTTAAACAAAGGTTATATTATTATTGAAGCTATTATTAGAAAAAAATATAATAGCTCATGTTGAATACCAATAACAAAACCTAATTTCATATAACTCCCACAGGCAGCTTTAGTTATGGGGCAGAGGTAGGTGTGCTCAGTGCGAGTGTTACTGATACCCAATGTCTTCTTACTAGCTTTTAAGGGGTTTGGAATCTTGAGTGATTCTAGACCAATTTATTCTGAATGACAGCTTTGCACAGCGGTCAAAACCAAAACTTTCTCCAGAATTTTCAGTTAATCTCTCAAGGCAGTGAGGGTCAACATGACGCCAGGGGAGAGGGTAGGGGGTGGTGGAGGCACCCAAATTAACTGATCCTGAAGAAGTAATTTAACCCAGGAAATCTGGTTATAGGAGAAAAGCAATTTTTGAATAGGTTATGATTAAATTTAAGAAAACACAGTGAAGGTAGTAAGATACACATGAATAACATTTTTATAGATTGGATTCTGACAAAATTAGAGTTAATATATTACCTGAGAGTATTCTAATAACCTGCCACAATCCAAGGCCCTCATTCTCCAAAATCAGGTCGTATTCGGTATAAAATTCATGAAGTTGTATGCACCATCACTTAATAATTGTTTTCTTAAAAGTTTATTATAAACCACAGAGTAATGTGGCTTGTACGAGGAAACTGTACATAGAACTCTAGATAGTATCCATTAGGTCTAGTCAGGTTTAAACACTTTCTCATAGCTGAAACACAACTCCAAACACTCTAACTTAAAGGAGGAGAGGTTTATTTTGGTTCACATTTCAGTGCATAGCTGGGTGGCTCCAAGGCAGACTGGCAAAGCAAAGGGGCAGGGGTGAGGAGGCTTGCTCATGGCACAGCAGTGAGAAAGGAGAGAGAGAGAGAGAGAGAGAGAGAGAGAGAGAGAGAGAGAGAGAGAGAGAGCGCAAGAGAGAGACAGCAAGAGAGAGAAAGAGAGAGAGACAGACAGAGACAGAGACAGAGACAGAGACAGAGACAGAGACCAAGGGAGGAGGGTGTAATACCTGCCTTTCTGGGGCATGACCCCAGTGATCACACTCACACTTTACCTTCCAAGTCACATTTAGCTATAAATTCATTAGTAGGTTAGTATCACATCATTGGTATCACGCCCCTAAGATCCAGGTACTTCCCAACATCACAGCTATTATCACATGAAGCTTTTGGGGTACATCTAGATATAAATCATAACATCAGGTAAAATGCACCCCATAATATGGGCTGGACATGTATTGAGGATGCAGTCAATCACTGTAGGTGTTTATGTGTGTCAGCAGGGTGCATGCTAAGAAACTGGAAATAAGTGTTTGCTGCAAGACAGGAAATCAATACTAAATAGTTGGACAATGGCCATTACCAACAGCATTAACTCAAGTAATATACCCAAGGGGCAGGAGAAGAGTCTCTCTTCCATGCAAGAGAGAAGTTGTGAGCTCTGGAAAGCACAAGCCATCCTTATCCTTCTTAGGGCCAATTTTCAGGTTCTCACCTATCATGGGTGACGTTACTATAGTCCTCTGTGCATTTCTTACTTTCCTCTTATTTTAACAGAACCCTCATTGTATTTGGAGTGACCAGGGGCCTAGGTAAAAATACTCAGCTTCCTCAGTTCCCTGCCCCCTAGAATTGCTTATGTCATACAGCTCTGTGTAATGAGAAGTGGAAACCACTGAGCAGAGTTTCCTGGGAAGTTAAATTATTTCCCTGATTCAAAAAAGCCAGAATTGAATGGCATCGCTTTTTAAATTTGTAGCGAATCACCTTCTCTCTTCTTTGTTTAAGGGATTTGGATATGATGCCTGAAAATAGAGCAGACATGGGCAAAATATGAAATCTCAAGTCTGAAGACAAAGGTTTACTTACTGACGGTGGGGGAGAAGCAAGCTGAGCATCTGCAGCTATCGGTGAGCAGCAAGAACGATGCTGGGTTGCCTGTGTTCAGAGGTTTCTACACTTTAATGCCATAGCCGGGTGAGGTCTCTGTTGCTTGTGTACTTTCCTGAAACACACAGGGTTACCAGGTTGACAGTGAGCTAATCAAAAATATGGAAACAACACAGACAAAAGCCAAACAAACAAAAACTGAGTTGTGATTCATGCAATTTTCCCTAACAGTAAATGATGACATTTTCCATCCTTAGCCGCTTTCTTTTCCACTCTCTCAGTATACAAATTTTCTTGATTAAAGAAGCCATCTATGATGAAATATACCCTGGCCACATGAGAGATCATCTCTAAAGCAAGTAGCATTTTATTTAGAGGACCAAGGGTATAATTACTTTCCTTTGACCCTCCACTTATAAAAGGGAGGACAGGTCACGGAAGGTTGTAGATCTATCTTGTTTTATTTCCAAACAAATTCTATTTTTATTTTTCCTGGTTGGATATGTTTTGCAATTATCTTCACTGCAGAGGGGAAATGTGAAATATACAGTTCTTCACAGAGTGAGCACACTCATAATGATCTAATTTCAAAAGCTACTTCCCATTGGGAGCAGAGGGTTGAACACTGGCATGGATGCCTTTTCTCCCTTCCTGAAGTTGACAGAGGATGGAGCAAGGCGGTAAGAGCTGGCAAGGTTGTAAGTGCTTGCTGTTTCCCTGCCAAGAGTCCACGGCTAACATTGCTGATTATAAGACTCTTTCCAGTTAAGCCAAACCGTGGATTTGGAATCCGCAACACAGTGTCTCGAAACAGTCCATTCCAGTCTGTTAAAGAAGACACGCCACATGGATCTGTTTGGCATCACTGATGAAAGTTAAGGATCAGTTGCCTGAATGAGTGGGAAATAAAGAATTACTCAGACTCATAGTCTACTTCTGCAATATAACTCTTTGGGGATGTCGGTCATCTGGCTTGCAGATCTTTGAGGTGATAGAGACTAAATCCACTATGCTGAAAGAGAAAACTTTTTTTTCCAACTTCCTTTAATCACCTAGAACAATTCTCAGAATACAAAACACTTGAAGCCCCATAGTTTCAGGTATATGTGAGGCACAGGCCAGGTGATTCCCACAGTGCAATCTACTCTCTACAGCTAAGAAGAACATTACCTCTGGGATGCTTCAATCCAGTTTTGGAATGAGACTTTTACTTTTGTTGTTCTGGGGGTTCTTGGGGACCAACACAGAAGATATGGTAAAGTCTCTTGTAAGTTCTCATTTCTCCAACCCACTTGGACCTGAAAAGTGGTATCGTCTGTAAGGTATATCCTAACTCTTCATTGCCGATTTACTAACTCCCTTTGACACTCCTACCCTGAAAAAAGCAACAAATTCTTGACACACAGGCTCTCAAAAACAGCTTGAATGAATGAATGCACAAATGCAATTTCATTTTAGGAAATAGCTCCTAAAAACCTCCTGAGAGCTATGTGAGAGTCTCTGAGACCTTTGATTTGTATTGCCACCTTAGGTATCTTTTCTTGAAAAAAATTTTAAGTATCTTCTCATGAGCCTTATGTAAAGTCAGATGGCATTGGTGAGAAAGTGCTTGGAGTGATTTGACCACTGAGCATTTCTACAGGGAGTAACTGGGAAAAGCTCAGCTGTCAACTCACTCAGGGGCCCAGTGGAGGAAGTCTAACAACTGCCTGTGTTCCACAAGCTGCCCATTGTGCACGCAAGAACAAAGGTTGTAGCAGATGTTTGCACAAGAGTTGTCCAGTTGAAAAATTGGCTCCAAGTCAAATTAAAAATAGGATTTTATTAAATAGATCACACTTGTTCAGTGACAGTTCCTCACCTGTCTTTGCATCACCCAAGGTCAATGTTGCCAGCTGCTTTTTATATAGGCTACTGATTCCCATGGTATCTTTTAAAACATTAATGCCATATGCTATGTAAAATCTCATCTCAGCTAACTGACTAAGAGACCAGTGTGATGGGTCTTGGATTGGGATGGAAGCCACTGGATCTTCTCTTCCTGGGACAAGTGTGTCACCCAGATTCATGGGAGTGTACACATAAAAGAGGTCAGGCTAAAATGTGTTCAGGTTTCATCAGTTCAGCATGCATTTCCTGAGACCTGCAAGTCTGCAGGCTTAAAAGCCCCGACGATTCAGTGGTGAATCTTCCCGTGTGGTATAAGAGCAAGGTAGTCTCGCTTGGTGGAGCTTCGAATCAGGTGCTAGAGTTCATATCTCTTCCATGTCATAGAATATTTTTGATGTATGTTGAAATTTATGAATTCCTTCTGAAAACTCTGCCTTCAAATACATTAAATAGATACAGGTTATAAATAAAATCAAAGATTATGAAATTGTTATTCAGTAAATTTAAAAATTGTCATATAATAATACACATACCTCTACTAATGCACATTACATAATTTTTGTAACATATCTAGCAAGTGTCATAATTTAGAAATGATGATAAGCATACATGACATTTCAAGAAATCAGCAATAACTGTAATGTAATATAAAGTGTTTGTGATCTGTTGCTGACAAAGTCCCAGCTATTCCTTATATGATTTTGTTTTGATGCCTCCATTAGTACCAGTAGGAAATGACAGATTTCAGTTTGAGGTTAGTGAAAAAAGATGTGAATTTTTTCCCCAATTAAGTTCACAACCTGTCTCTTGAATATTTATCTTTAGATCACTTGAAGGTTCGTCAAACCAGGTTGTAGATGATGAATTTAGTAATTCTACTGTACTGCATCTCCATCTCCACTTAAAAATAAATATAAAGTATGGCAGGTTATGTGATCAAAAGGCTCAGGTTCTCCTCAATATGTACTCCATCAGGGGCAAGTCAACAAGGACATTTGGAGGAAGTACAAGGTAGGATGGGGCACAGAAAATATTAAACCAAGGGAAGAGGAAAAAGAGAGGGGAAAGTGGGTACCATATGCTTTTAGGCAGAAGAAAACATATTTTCAAACTTCAGAAATCAAAACAGAAGTATAGGCAAGATGAGAAATGTTTCTGGCTCTAGACTGGCAACTAGCAAGCAATGTGTGGTTGGGAAGAGTTAAGGGCTGAGACTAGAGTGATGATACATCAGATTTTAAGAGATAGTATTATCCTAAAAGAACAATGAGAAACCATCATTAGTTTTCAGGAAGTGTGTTAATTAAGAAGAGAATTCTGATTGCTGTGTCAGATTCAGATCAATGGCCAAAAGGACAGAGACAGAAAAGCCAGTTAGAGGCTCGTAGGTTAATGTAGCCATGGCTTTGACATGGTTGATGAAGGAGATGTGGGAATGAGCAGAAACACTGGTACAAGATGATATCATTTACCGCCATAGTGAATGCAGAAACATACATGAGTTTAGGGTGAGACAGAAATATTGAACTTGGTTTAGAACATGATGTTCATTTGGCCCTGAGAAATTCTAGTGGCTATCACAAATATGCAGTTGTTTATCTACATAGAGTCTAAAGTAAAGAAATGCAATGTGGACTATAGATAAAAAGTAAAGTAACACTTTTCTCATTGGATATTAAACTCAAAATTCTGAAATTGATGAGAATTACATGTTAAGTATATTAAAAACTACCATTTAATGAAATATAGCATGCATATTTACTTTGTGTTATGGTTTGTGTTTGGATGGCCCCTCTAAGCCTCATGCAGTCATGGAGGCAGCTGAATCTAGCATTTGTGTTTGATTTGTTGTCCAGCACTGGGATTAGTGGTGTGAGTGCTGTACCCACCCAGGGGTAGGGAGAGCTACATACAATGTAAGGGCTAGAAGAAGGTGTGCTTCCCCCATTTGCTCTTGTTACTTGCAGCTTCCATGAATAGTTGTCCTTCAGCAGAACCACCCTGTCTTGGAGCCAGCTGAGTGTGGATTGAAACCTTCAAAAACTGTAAGATAAATAAACCTTTACTTGCTTCACTTTGGGCATCAGGTATTTTGTCTCCATAAGGAGAGAAAAGTAACCAAGACTTTATGAGTACCTTCTCATACCTCAAAAATTTTTTGATCAAGGTATGTTTGTGTTATCTTTTCATAAAGGGAAATCAATACTAAGAGAATCTAAGTAATTTGTAGGTCATATAATGAGACAGAACCAGATTTTAATCCAGGCCATCTATATACTGAACCCATGCTCCTTATATTCTACTCTAGGGATTTCCTAACTAATTACCCCTCTTGGGATAACACTGTAACACTTCATTTACAGAAATGAAAATTTCAGATTTTCTTTCTCTCTCCCTAGATAAGTCAATCAATTTCTGAAAAGTTCCTGTACATTTTCACTTGAAGGCTTGGAGGATGTCTGATGAAATCTTTTTATTTATTTTGTTGCTTTGTATAGTATGTGTTCAGTACATATGTATGAAATGAGTGGAAACACAAGTTTCATCTGAGTTAGATTCATTTGAGAATGAGACTCTGCATGGAAATTTTATGAGTTAAGTATTACTATGTTAGTTGTAAGAGCTATAAATCTATAAAACAAATTCAAACGAGTGTAAGGAGGAAGCATGAAGGTTACTTTAAGAATAGAAAAAAGTTCTCTTTAGGATGGCTGAATTCAGCTACAGGTCTGGTTTGTCACTAATTTGGTCTCCTTTCCTTTACTGTGCTGAATTTGTTACAAAGTTGCCCCCAGTAGCTCTAGGCTGACATCTTCCTTCATCCATTTCCAGGAATAAGAGCTTTTTATTCCAGTCATTCCAGTATGATCCTTTGAATTGCATCTCTTTGGTCTGGCCGAAAAATATTCATATTGAGCCAATTGCTGTGGCCAAAGGAAAGACTGTGATGTCTGGTTGGGTCTGAGTCATGAGTCCACCCTTCAAGAGAGGGGTTGGAAGTTTGTGGGAAAGGATGAGGGTGCTCCCAAAACCAGATGAACTGATGTGAGGAGGGCAATGGGCCTCCTTGAAAACCCAGTGTCTGCTAATAAATAGCAAAGGGAGGAATATGCTCTGGGTGGGCAAAAACAACAGATGTCCATTACATTTGGCCACAGCAAAATAAGATTCTGGTTTGTCACAAAGAATGCAGTTTTCATATAAATATCTTTGTGTCTAGAGATA